TTTCTGGCTCCATACATCCACTTTTAACTGAGTGAGATTTTAAACAAAACCCATAATTTCATTGAAAGTCAACAAGAATCGGACATCTTAACGCATATTCCTTCTGTAACGTGATATATTTTCAAGAGAAACAAAACTGCAAAGAGGGTCTCTGGGCAAGTTGAGCATTTCTCTCAATGGTTGGGGGGGCAGTGGGAGGGGAAAGTGAAAACGATATTTTTGGTTAACATTATTTTGGCCTGCCTGCTAGTGCACAGTGATGTAATCAAAACTCAGAGGATGTTTCACAGGTAAGGAAATTTATCACATTTTGATGGAAAATTATGCCTTGTGTAAACAAGACCATTTAAATTACTAAAAGACTTCACCATTTAAATTATTATTTACTTAATTAATTGAATTGATGTGCGTAATATGAGCAGGAAAATGAGCTAATCAGGTACGAAAAGGTCCATTTTAATTTTAGGTTAAGTTTCTCTGTACTTTTTCCACCCCTGCATGTTACGCTGAACATCACTGAGGTATCCCACATTAATGTGCACACACTCTACAGGAAATAATGCACATTTAAGTCTAGATTATCTCTCTAATAAACAGAGAAAAAACACATTTTGAATTCTTAAGTGTCTTTAAAATGCGACGAGATGAAATGTGACAGTATGAAATCATTCTGAAAGAGATTAAATAATCTTGTGAAACTGAAAGTGGAGCCTGCTGCCTAATGTTTGAAAATGAAAACATAAGCATCAAACATCACAAAAAGTTGAGAAAAAAGTAACAGAATACGTATTTTAAAAATTCTTACCTTTTACTGGAGTCAGTGCATTCTCCAGGAACGCTTAGTATTTCATACAGGCCGTATCTATGCTGGATTTTGCTTTGTTGTTGGGTCTGTATCCCTGGACTAGTAGGAGGAAAAGTGTCCACATAATCTGGAATATCCTCATAGAGATGATCATATTCTGCTTCTCCCAGAACATCATCTTCATCCACACTCTGTTCTTTGGCATATGATTGACATGAGCTACCGAACTTGGACACTGGCTCTTTGCTATGGACTGTGAGTAGGTGTGTTCTATACTCTGGTATTTGAATGTGGGTTCCATTCTGGTTCCTGTTATCCTGCCAATCCTCCTCCACTGACTGCTCATCCTTGCCTGAGGTGCAGTTGAGAGCCTGCTTTCCCTTGGCTTTTTTCACTGGAAGGTCAACGTCCATTATTTTCTGGCGGGATGTGTTCTTCTGAAGCATGTCTGCCGGGGAGAAAGACTTGGCTTTGGGCTTCAGATTAGTGCCAGATCTTTTAGCCGGTGCGTTTTCTGGCGTGCTGTCACTAGGTTCCTGCTTTCCAGAGTGGGGCATCATTTTCTGACTTGCTTTGCCTCCCAGTTTTCTTTCAGCAGGGACAGGGAGACTACATTCCACATGTTTGTTATTGCTCTGAAGGATTTCTTTCTCAGGCATGGTTTCCTTATTTCTTTGTGGGGTTTGGTGGACTTCCGTTGCTATGATTGTTTTAGGCTTTGGTTGTTTGGATAGATTCCTTGACGTGGGCTGCTGGTTTTTGTGCACTGCAGCATCCTCTGAGAGTCCGTGATGGTGCACATCCTGGTCCTGTGTTTGTTCTGAAGAAGGAGACCTCCAGTGTGGATAATCCACATTGTCACATTGGGTTTCAGCAACTCCTCTAGTGGATTTCTTCTCACTTGTAGGAGGTTTTAAGGGAGTAATCGGTGTTCTTCCTTTGTGTGGCAGGACTGGTGTATTCTGCTTCAGGTTTACTACATTAAGCCTCGTCTTAGCAGAGCCCTGTGAATCCTCTGAGGTCATGTCACTGATGTTTTTGGGTTTCCTCGGTGCAGGCAGTGGTGGCAGTGGCTTCCTAACAGGGGCCACAACAGAGGGCAAACTGCCATTTTGTTTACCAGGAACATGTCCATGCTGTGTGCTGTTTGTTAGAGCTTGTTCTGAAAGTTTGGGTGGTGATCCAATGACAGTTGCTGGAGGAACATGAGCACCATCAGCACTGCTCTGAGGTTTTTCAGTTGCGTGTCTCTCAGAACCTGCCAATCCATTAGCTACAGTGAGATTCTGAACAGGGCTCTGGCCATGGATTACTCTTGTTTGCCTTGGCTGATCACTGGAAGAGCCTTGTACAAAGTCCTTAACAGATGGGGTCATTGCCTGACCTCGGTTAGCCTCAGTTACATGTTGAGGTTTGGTCAGAGCCCTTGGTGTGGGAGTCCTGGTTCCCTCAGGTTTATTATTCACACACGGTCCAGCACATTTTCCATGCTGGACAGGTCTTCTGTTGTTTTCTTTAGGTGAGCATTCATCACACTTCCCTTTGGCACAAACACAAATTGGAATGACGTAATCCCATTCTGGCTTTTTGAGCTCTGAAAAAGGTCCATTTCTGGAATTCAGTAAACCCACATGTCTTGTGATTTCAGACTTTTGTTGATACTCTGTGTTAGCCACGAGCGGCTTAGGCTCTAATGGAGATGCAGAGGTTTTAAAAAGACTTGGTTTAGGTGCAACAGCAGGTTTCACAGCACTTTTCAGTGGCTGGGAAAATTCCAGGTTAGGTGCATGTTTTGTAGCTGGATGTAGAATTGGTTTTGGTGGTGGAACAACCTTTGGCTTAGGGGCCACAATTGGCTTCTCCACACCTGTTGCAAGCCCTAAGAACACAGACAAACATGTAGAGAATCTGCATTTGGCAACTAAAGAGTGCAGAGCTGAGGAAACAGTGGACTTTACACAACACATTTTCACGAGTAACAGGAATAGCATGACGCAAATGGAAAGCAGTTCCTTTTTTCAGCATATTTTGTCGACTATCAGGAAATATTTTAGTAATACAGAAGTTAGGAGCTTACATAAAGCAAAAACTCATGAAAATAAGTTCGGTGGCTGAAATAAGACCCGTTTTCCAGACCCAGATTGAGCCTAAACCTAGACTAAAAAGTATTTCCAATGGTGATTCACCATTGTCACTGCAATTTAGTCTAAGACTAGGCTTAATCCAGGCAGCTCTCTGTGTATGATAGGATAATTTATACTTTCTACCATGTTAGTCAAGAAGCAGCACCTTTATAGACATGATAGACATATATATATGCACCAGTAACAATATATTTTCATTAATCTTTTCTTTTATATTAAATAAGCTATTAAGACTGAATAATTTGGGCAGATTACACGTTAAAACCACATTAAGATGCTCTGAACACATAGGCAACATGGCCTCATTATCTGAAGAGCACTTTTCACAGCAGGACTTCTTTTTCACTATTTATTTTTACTGGTTATATGAAGTTTTTAAAGTCGCTCTTCCAGTCTGGATGAACTGATGCGTCTATAAAGTCAACACAAAGCTGCTGAATCGCCCACAAGTTCTACTGAAGATTTCTGTTTAATCTTTGAAAGACAGATGATGACCAGACATTGTTTAAAAGAGGTTAAACTACTTGTGATTGGAGTAGAGGTATTAATGAAGGCTACTGTGATTATCACTCACCTGTCCTCTCCATAGCACCGGCAGCTCCTCTCCCTCTATCCTTGCATCGTTACATCGTGTTTGTTTCTTCCGCCAACGTAAAATCCCCTTTAATCAGAGAAACGATTTTACTCACAGCAGTAATTCAACTCTCTCCAGACGTACTTTTACAAGCTCGCAGTGTTCGCAGTTATTAAGGTTTTGGTAGGCGGGGAGAATTCCAGACCACAATAATCCCTCTGAAATTTGGCCATACGTCTCACGCGCTCACTGGGGCTTATTATTTTTTTTAACCCCAGCAAGACAAACCCCGCCTCCTGCGCCACGATTGGCTAGTCTCACATGTACACGTACTGGGGAGAAAAAAACTACGTTGCCTAGCAACGAGAGACGCTCTCAGTTCTTGTGTGATTTTCAGTCGTTGTAGATCTGCGTAGTACTTCTAAATACGTTAGTTGTGTGTTTGTGTTGTTTATATAAAAGCGGATTATTGTAAATATGTAAAATATTGTACTCATCCCTTTTAGGGGTGGTGGGGGGGGCACAACCACCCCTAAACGGGATGAGTACAGTATTTTACATATTTACAATAATCCGCTTTTATATAAACAACACAAACACACAACTTACGGGGTTCCTCCGGGGTTTCTCGGAAAACGGGTGGGAAAAACGGGTGTCCACATTTTCTCTTTTTTGTCTAGTGCAGGCTGCCAAAGTCTTTGAAAGGCCGTCACTGATGTTTCTAAACATCCATTCATTAGGAAGACCTCAGACAAACTTGATCCACTGCAGAAGTTTATTAATAATATTCTAATGACAGGATTTCACATGAGCATTGGACCAATGTGTCTGAAAAAAAGGCTTATTACTGCCCCCTGCTGGATTCCTTAGATGCATATACACTGCATGGTGACTTCATTAAGAACACCAACCTTGTATCTACACTCACTGTCCACTTTATTAGAGGAGGTATTATCTGAGTGGTGGATCATTCTCAGCACTGCATTGACACTGAAGTGGTGGTGTGTTAGTGTGTGTTGCGCTGGTGCATGTTGATCAGACACAGCAGTGCTGCTGGACTTTTTAAACACTGTGTCCACTCACTGTCCACACTATTAGACACACATACCATGCTGGTCCACCTTGTAGATGTTAAGACAGAGACGATAGCTCAACTGTTGCTGCACTATTTGTGTTAGTCATCTTCTGGTCCTTCATCAGTGGTCACAGGACGCTGCCCACAGGACACTGTTGGCTGGACATTTTTGGTCGGTGGACTATTCTCAGTCCAGCAGTGACACTGAGGTGTTTAAAAACTCCAGCAGCACTGCTGTGTCTGATCCACCACCACATCAGTGACACTGCTGAAAATGATCCACCACCCAAATAATCCCTGCTCTGTGAGGGTCTATGAGGGTCCTGACCACTGAAGAACAGGGTAAAAGGGGGCTAATAAAGTATGCAGAGAAACAGATGGACTACAGTCTGTAATTGTAGAACTACAAAGTGCATCTATATGATAAATGGAGTTGATATAATGGACAAAGAGTGTAGATACAAGAAGGTGTACTTCATGAAGTGGCCGGTTGGTGTATATACATGTACAGTCATCTATACACACGCACACACATTCACACACACTCCTTCTGGGTCACGGGGGCAGCTGGAGCCTATCCCAGCAGTCATTGGGTAGAAAGTCATCTATATATGAAAGGGGAATTCCATCAACTTTTCAAAAATTGTTATGATATTACTCAATCACTGAAAAGAAAAGTCATAATGGTTTGATGTGAAATTGTGCATTGTGGAGAAACGTACTGACTTGGTGACAATGGTGGTGACATGAACCAGAGGTTGCAATGCAAATATGGCCATTTTATTTACTATCCAAGATGACCAGTGAACCTACATAATGGTAGAATAGTGGTATATAGACAAAAATAAGCTTTCTATTTTAGCCATTTCATGTACCTCTCCGTCATGAATAAATTTAAAATTTATTTCAATATGTTTTAGGCTGAAATATTCTCTCAAAACTGTTGTAAAACAATATCTCTGACAGCATATTCACAACCACCTGAGTAATAGCTTTCTGTGAGGCAGCTTTTAGATGCATAAATTCTTCTGACATATCACCAACAACTCTGACTCAGAAGTTTCTCTAGAATAGACTATTTAATTTACATTAAACCACCCTGAATGACTTTATTGACCATATTAATGCATTAAAATCTGTGGAATCATGTGATCCCCTTTGATGGCACCGTTCTTATGTTTCTGTGCTAACAACACCAATGAGTAATATATTCAACAGCAAATCAGTATACAGTATCTGTTAATATGAATGATTTTCCAGCCCTTGCATTGTTGGGTACACAGCAGTCCTGCATATATGTTATACCTCACAAACCCACTGGCACTTGATTTACCAACAGACAATCAAACATTTAATTAAAATATTTACTATAAATTTATTTAGCAGATATGCTCTGATGGTCAAATAAATGGGTGAAAAGTCATATGGCATGAAACATCTTCCAATTTAGACTTTGCTAAAAGGTGGCTGCAACTCTGCTTATGAAATGACACACTCCTTAAAAAAACAAGAAACGTATCTCATACACAAATGAACAGTTTGGATATGTTGAGAGAATTGGCAGTATAACTGAAATCCTTGCTAGGCTTAATCTGTGTTGAGGAAACCATTCCCTTGAGGTACAAACAGTCAGCTCAACTCTTGGTGAAAATGAAACGGCAGCTGAGTAATCACCAGCCTGAACAAAGACTGGCAGGATAAAGGCTTATTCAGTGGGCTTTGGTTTTGGAGACTCCAGCAGCTGATCATCTGTAGGTGTGCCAGTCTGCAGAGTGTGAACAGGTGCCCAAGCATTAGTCCTCTTCGTACTGCTGTGCCAGTTTGCGCAGCTTGTCCACTAACACTGGAGAAAGAAACAGAAGTAATGAGCAAACATTGATATGGCTTCTATCCTTATGACCAAATGTGATGTTTATTTTTTATTCCATGTATATCAGGGGTACTCCGGTTTCCTCCCACAGTCCAAAAACATGCAGTCAGGCTGATTGGACATGCTGAATTGCCCCTAGGTGTGTGTGTGACTGTGTATGTCTGTCTGCCCTGCGATGGACTGGCGACCTGTCCAGGGTGTATCCTGCCTTCCGCCCAATGACAGCTGGGATAGGCTCCAGCACCCCACCGCGACCCAGAAGGATAAGCGGTTTAGATGATGTATGTATGTATATCAGGGGGCCCAGACCTGGTCCTGATGATCTACCACACTATGCATATTAGATCCAACACATCTGGTTCTAATGTTAAGGTGCCCGTGAAGGTTTTAATTGAAATAGATCAGATGTGTTAGATGAAGGCTGGAGCTAAACATTTCAGCACAGTAGACCACCTCGAACCAGAGTTGTGCACCCCTGATGTACAATACTGGCAAAAGTCAAAGACCATCCTTCATTTATTTAATTTGAAGTCAAAATGGGCATTGAGTAAAAGTGATGGATTTTTCTAGAAATACTTCTTAGGGGATAAGATACAAGATTATACAGAATGGGATAATCAAAGGTAAATAAGTGAAAAAACATTTATAAAATGATACAGAGAAAAGGGGCTCCTAAAAACCATGTAAAACTATCGGGTAAACAGTACTTAAAGCTTTCCTCTTTAAAAGAGATAAAAAATTCAAGATCTTCAGATCAGGAAAAAAATGCATGGTTTCCACTGTTGAGTTGCCTTCCACTGTGAGAAGACAGCTCAACGCTATAGGTCTGAAAGGATGAGATCCTTACTGAAAAAGGAGAACATTTCGCTGCTGTCAGAAGAAAACCTTGTATCTTCATTTTTGTCATTTTTCAGTTTTTGACATAATTTAAAAATGCCTGTTGGCCTTTACATTGTGTATAAATTTCATTATAAATGGACCAAAAAAACAACCCAAAATTACCTGGAAGAAAGTCCTGGTTCCGTTGACTTACATTAAAAGTGAAGTAGTTTTTTTCTTTCTCCTGTAAAGTTACCATTTTGGAGATACAAGGTTTTGTTTCAACAGCAGCGATTTGAAAATCAAACAAAGAAGCTGCTGGTGTTCTCAGAACACTGGATTGACCATCCCAGTGTCCAGAACTGAACATCACTTCTAAGACTGAACTTTGGAGGTGTGTAAAAATATCCCTGCACATTTCTTTGAAAAACACAAGTGTTCTGAAAAGAATGGAAGCAGTAATAAAAGGCAAAGGGGGAACATAATATATACTGAACAATGTGATATTATATTTAGTTGTTGAGGCTTCTGTGTAATTTTCAGTTAAATTGATGTTTTCTGTTTTTTCCCCTAAAGTTGAAAAATAATAACTTATATAATAACATAGCTGTTTTGAAATGAAATAAATGAATGACTTTTGCACCATAATATATGTATACAATCGGGCTGTCACTGCCAAATATATTATATATATTTCAATAAAAAATTGAGGTATCTCACAATTGTTTGGATCAATCAAGTAATCAGAGTTTTAAAAAAGTCAAACAGTAATAACTGATATGACAGAACAAACCATGCATAACTTCAAAGAGTTTCGTTGAAGATTTGCATGGTTTGCATATTCTTCAATATTTTCTTCAATATTCTTTAAAAAAAGTTGTCTTCATTTGAAGATCTATAAAGGATTTCTATAAAAGATTATTGAGAGATCAGTAGGAAAATTTAAAATGTGTATTATCATCATGCAAACTAATAATTGCATATTATTTCTAAAGCTAATTTTAAATTAGTTTTTATGTACACTATATTGCCAAAAGTATTCGCTCGTCTGCCTTCACACGCATATGAACGTGAGTGACATCCCATTCCTAATCCATAGGGTTTAATATGATGTCAGCCCACCCTTTGCAGCTATAACAGCTTCAACTCTTCTTGGAAGGCTTTCTACAAGGTTTAGGAGTGTGTTTATGGGAATTTTTGACCATTCTTCCAGAAGTGCATTTGTGAGGTCAGACACTGATGTTGGACGTGAAGGCCTGGCTTGCAGTCTCCGCTCCAATTCATCCCAAAGGTATTCTATCGGGTTGCGGTCAGGACTCTGTGCAGGCCAGTCAAGTTCTTCCACACCAAACTCGCTCATCCGTGTCTTTATGGCCGAGCCCAGCTACTGAAAAACAACCCCACACCATAACCCCCCCTCCACCAAACTTCACACTTGGCACAATCCAGTCAGACAAGTGCTGTTCTCCTGGCACCCGCCAAACCCAGACTTGTCCATCAGATTGCCAGATGGAGAAGCGTGATTCGTCACTCCAGAGAACACGTCTCCACTATTCTAGAGTCCAGTGGCGGCGCTTTACACCACTGCATTCGACGGTTTGCATTGTGTTCGGTGGTGTAAGACTTGGATGCAGCTGCTCGGCCATGGAAACCCATTCCATTATAATACCACTGACAGTTGACTGTGGAATATTTAGTAGTAAGGAAATTTCACGACTGCACAGATGGCATCCTATCATGGTACCACGCTGGAATTCACTGAGCTCCTGAGAGCGATCCATTCTTTCACAAATGTTTGTAGAAGCAGTCTGCATGCCTAGGTGCTTGGTTTTATACACCTGTGGCCATGGAAGTGATTGGAACATCTGAATTCAATGATTTGGATGGGTCAGTGAATACTTTTGGCAATATAGTGTAGTTTAGTTAGTCAATCGTGACAACCTGTACATATATGAACCCAAGACTATCTACACTTTTATATACATACATTTTTTTCGGAGTCTAACCACAATATCAGGGCACTGTGGTTAACATTTCCTTTACAGACACAAGTGACGGGGACACCAATTCAACCCATACAGCCATATTTGGGTGTAAGTGCTAACAGCTGGCTGTACCTCCAGCATTGGGCCTCTGGAATGGCTCGTACGAGCGGCAGGCATCAATGAGCTCCTTGAGCTGACTCGGGCAGTCGTTCGGCAGTGGCTCCATCACCTTCTCCACACACAACTTCTTATAAAGAAGACTGTGGGATGAACAGTCTGGATACAGAACAGAGAGGATGAGCGGTGCTGAATGTATTATTACATATTAGCTTATAGCCTTCATATTCAACAGATGCAGTGATTTCATTATGAGTAAAAGTTCATAATGGAGATACATGCCTTTAAAGGGGACTTGGCGTGCTGCAATTTCCCACAGGACGATTCCAAAACTGGAAAGATCACATACACAATGTCACCATCACTCAGTAATAGTCATATTGTACTGTACAAACAACAAATGAAGTTCAGTTTGCTATTTGCTACTTTTCATCACAGACATTACACGCACACATCAGGTAAATTAAAATAGGAGTGAATATTATATGATTCCAGCTGTGTGCCTCTACTATTTGCATGCATGCTTCCTGACCTGTAGATCTCGCAGGCCTTGTCATATTGATGGTTGATGTTTTCGAGCTGTTGTGGAGATGTGTACATCATTAAGCTGTTCTTTTTATCTTTACTCTTCTTTAGTGATGTTTCTGTCTTCGCCAGCTCAAAGCCGGCCAGCTTCGAGAACACACAAGTCAGTTTTAGAAAGTGCCTTTGCACACACTGATCCACAAAAACTTTAGGGAACCAAATATGTTTATTTCTGTGTCGTCACTCAAAGAGCTCTTTTTGGCATCTTTTAGCTACTATACTTTTCGATTCATATGATTCGGTTCATATGATTTGAAAAGTGCAGAATGGACTTTGTGAATATTATATATATATAATTTTTCATGATATAAGCAGTTGTTCAGTGTTATAGAACAGCTGACGATACCCATGATAAACTCAGAGAAGTGTACTGTCTACAATAGTGATAAGATTTTGTCATATCTGCTGCCCCTATAATACACCATCTTTCTGAGAGTTGAGTTTAAATATTTAAAGGTAATGTACAAACTAGATGCTAAAACACAGAAAGTGACCCACTGGACGACTGTACCTTCACTCTGTACCCAGCAGCCACCAGGAACTTGCTGCTGGTGATGCAGCCGTGCACCTTAAACTTCTCCTCAGATTGATGCAGCCTACAGTTGGAGAAGGAGATAAGAGTTTTTCTTATTTGGAATTAGAGCACATCTCTGTTGCAACAGTGAAAACAACACAGGCTTGCTGGAGTCAAATGCACAGGCAGGCTCTAACTGGAGAGACTGCCTTAGAGGCAAAAAAGATGAAAGACTGGGGTTAGACACAGAAGCGGGTCTGAACCTGTAGAGTCCTTGCGCTGCATCCAGACACATTTGGGTCTTTCTGTCCCATGGCAGTTTGCTGGAACTGTCTAGCACCTGCCTCAGACAGCCCTTCTCACAGAACTCCGTCACTATCAGGTAGTTCGGGTTGGGTCCTTCAGGATACAAGCAAAACAAAGAAATATTTGATTGTCATATCATAGACAGGCATTCCTCCTGATAACAAACAGATGAACTAGGAATGCACTTGTGCTAGTGTTTTACTGATACAGATACCGTATCTGTATTGGTGCCAATACTGGTACCTAAATACAGTATTTGTATTAGCAATACAGAATACACTCAAAAAAACAGAAATGTTAGATTTACACAAGTTATGTCAAGTGGTTCTACACAACTCTCACAAGATACTTGATTGGGATGCTAAATGTTGTTGTTTTGTGTGTTAATATCGCTGGTCATTAGTCCAAGATGTGTGTATGTCTTATTTGTGTTTTGTGTTGAGCTGTGGGCTTGGTTGGTGTGGGCTTGGGTCTACCATTAAGAGAGATTGTGTGGCTAAAGGTGACCTGCTTGTTTTGCCTGGCTGTGTTTAAGAGCCTTTCCTGCTGGTGTAAATAAAGAGCATTTCTCATAGCAGAATTCATGGCCTCTCCCATGACTCCTTCTTCTCCAAGACCCCACAATATGTTCTTAACAAATTCAAGTAAATCACACTAAAGTGATTTGAGTTATTGACTAGACTGATTATTGTTTATGTATTATCCAAAATTGAAACATTGGATCTACTTAAAAATGTTATGCCAAGTTATTCTATGCAGCTGTGTTAAGTAGATTTTAGGATGCTCACACAATGGAATGCAGGCCAGGGTGAAACAACATGAAGAGGTGGAGTAAAATATTCAAGTAGATGATGATAGGGAGTCAATAGGAAACATGGTGAGTTTTACTCAACAAGATTGATGAAACACACACTTATGAAGTAAATCTGACAGCTCATTTAATTTCATTGAAACATGACTAACTTTCACTGACTTACAATCATTTGTTAAGTAATATCAATGAGAGAAAAGTGATTAAACCCAACAAGAGAATGTTTTCATTTGTCTGAGTGATTGATAATATAAAGCAATTTTAACGCACATCCGTCCATGCTACTGACTGCAGCATGCATGTGCACCAGTGGATGTGCAGGGTAATGGGGGGAGGGACAAGGTTTAGACAATTTACATAATCATAGATCTTTGCATTCTTAATGAATATTGAGGTTTAGGGATGCCCCTATGCCATTTTACCAGTTTCTTAGGCATTACATAAATACATACAGTGTTTAACAATTTATTATTTTTTGTTTTGTGTTTTAATTTATGACTTTATGTATTTTAAGGTATTAAAGACGGCTGGTCTGACAAACAAGCATAGCAGGCCATTAGCCATGCTAGTGCTTCCACTGGTGCAACAGACAGTGCCGTTTCTACTGATAGTGTGAATGACTGTAATATTTACTAAATTCCAGCAGTGACTGCTGGAAGAGCCACTATGGTGCCGGTATGAGTGCAACACTAGCAAAAACATACAACAGCATCAACATCAAGAGTCATGAAACAACTACTTATAGGAAACAAAACACTGTTTACTATATCATGCTATAACATGCAAAAAGGAGAAATGTAAGAAATGTAAGGAAGAATTCAGATGCTAACGTACCATTCTCATCCTGGACACAAATCCCAAACATTCTCAGGATATGGGGTGATTCAAAGCGCTTCATGGTCTCCACTTCCTTACGAAAAATGCTCCTAACTTGGCTGTGGAGAAATTCAGTCAGACAGGAGGAGGACAGTGCTGTCTGTTAAAGAGTCTAAAGTGTATTTTTGGTTCATAATGAAAAATACTAGATAACAAATCATGTTTTTTAACTGACTAAGAAGGAAAAGATCAGATAAAGACTGTTTGAAAAATTGACAGCTGGTCTAAGCATGTGTGACTCAGACTTACCTTGGGTTTGTGCCCTCTGTATATGTATATCTCTTAATGGCTACAGTGAACTTGTTGTACTCTCCTTTGAACAGCTCAGAATTGCAAGTCTTCATGATTGGTTCAATGGGAAAGTCATAGGTCAGCTCATCTGGCCTGATCTCTCTGATGTCCTGCAGATGGATGCTGGGTCTTTTTACTGTCAGGTAGGGAAAAAGGCACTCGTTTGTGTTCAGACGTTTAGCTTTCTGTTTTGTCAATTGACACAAAACCAACTACAAACACAGTCCTCCTCAAGTTTGCTGCATCACTAAATTCTAAATATTTATACATTAGTTGAATGGAGACTAAATTTTGACCTTGCTTCATGCACTTATTAACAAAAAAAAACAGTTATTATAAACCTGACAATAAAGAAGAAAGTAGTGGGACAATATCTACAGTACTATAAACTAAATGGTGGTCAAACTTCTGAAGAGACCTTTTTATGTTACTCCTCACTTTCACACTTACGTGAGTCCAGGACGCTTTTGATGTCTTGAACATCTTTTTGAGTTTGATCGACTTTCAAGTGCACAGCATCCACGGTCACCTTGGTCTCCTGGTTCTCCTCTGCCAAAGACTGCAGCACTGTGCAATTAAAGAAACCTTTTCAGAACATTTTACCTAAGTATATATACTTGTTTTAAAAGGCTGAAAGTTCAGAAAGGTTTTACTAGTTCAGACCATGCCAACATATGGTAGTAGTATGAGAAGAGACTGTAGGAGGGAAGAGAATTTGGGCTTGAGTTCTGAGTGGCTTCTGCTTTATATTAGAAGTCTGGATCTCTCCCTCTCCATTAACAGAAGTAGGACTGAAAGATAGAACATAGGAACCGAGAGGGGATGGGGAGGTGAGGGGTGCAAAAACTTTGCCATGAGAAACAGAAGGTAGAGAAGGAAATTTATACAATGTTAAACTGGAAGGAGGAGGAGCTCCAGGCATGGCAATTCCCTATATTTCTGCAAAAATTTGACCTGAAACTTCATTAGATTTTCACACAAGTCCCAAAAGTAGACAAAAAGAAAAGGAACCCACGGTAACATCTAAGCAACAAAAGGTCTGTCTCACAGTGGCTAATGTTAATGTTCATGAGTCCATCATCAGGAGAACACTGAACAACAATGGTGCGCGTGGCAAGGTTACAAGGAGAAAACTGCTGCGCTCCAAAAAGAACATTGCTGGCCGTCAGCAGTTTGCTAAAGATCACATGGACAAGCTAGAAGGCTATTGGAACAATGTTTTGTGGACAGATGAGACCACAATAGATCTTGCCAAAGACTGCAGTACAGTGCAATCAAAAAAACCTTTTCAGATCATTTCACCTAATGGATGAAACCAAAATAAATCTTTTTGGTTTAAATGAGAAGCGTTATGTTTATAGAAAAGTAAACGCTGCATTCCAGCGTAAAAATCTTAGCCCTTCTGTGTAACATGGTGGTGGTAGTATCATGGTTTTGCTGCATCTGGGCCAGGATGGCTTGCCATCATTGATGGAACAATAAACTCTGAATTAAATTCTGGGCTGAAACTAAAGAGAACGTGGGTCATGAAGCAACACAACGACCCTAAGCACACAAGTCGTTCTAGCGAAAAATGGTTAAAGAAGAATAAAATTAATGTTCTGGAATGGCCAGATCAAAATCCTGACCTTAACCCAATAGAAATGTTGTGAAGGACCTGAAGCAAGCAGTTTATGGGAAGAAACCCACCAACATAACAGAGTTGAAGCTGTTTTGTGTGGAGGAAAGGGCTAAAATTCCACCAAGCTGATGTGCAGGACTAATCAACAGTTACCAGAAACATTTATTTGCAACAATAACTGCAATTAAACATTTCTGGTAACTGTTGACTTGTGTGAATATCTGATTAAATTTTAGGTCAAATTTATGCAGAAATATAGAAAATTCTAAAGAGTTCATAAACTTTCATACACCACTGTAAATGACCTCTGTTCTGATTGGCTGTATTGCTGCTCTCATTGACATTCAAAAAGCTGTCTAGGATGAAACAAGCATTGACAGCACTCTTTATCACCTCAGTGTGAATGGTCAGGTCAAACTGCTTCAGGCTCAGTGGGCAGTCGTATGTGAATGTGTTCATGGATTCGACCTCACAACCATGATGATTTCAAAACAGGCTGTTTTTGCTGCTTAGTGTCTATGCATGGACTCCAGAGTGAATGGTATACTTTAAAATTTTTAAAAATGTTTACACGGTACTTCAAAGTTGTTGGATCATTTAAGGTGGACTTTTTTAAGGTGGCTTTTTTAAATAGAGAATTTAAGGTACTATGTAATCATAGATAAAAAACTCTCCAAAAAAAAAAGTATCATTCACTTTCCAGTCAGTACAGTCCATACACAAAGTGAGCATGGATGCTTTGGAGGTCAGTGGAGACTCACATGTTTGGAGCTCTTCACAGTCAAACCTTCTGTCTTCTTCATCCTCTTTCCTCCTCTTGGCCTCGCTGAACACTCCCTCCATCCTCTCCCTCTGCTCCACCTGCAGAGCCAGTGAGAGCAGCTGAGCGGCATCGTTAAGTCGTTCGTTCAGGCAGCAGAACTCCTCGCCCAGGTCATAGGCCTTCACAATGCGCTTCAGATAGCTGGACAAGGCGTATTTCTTCACTACGTTCTGTGCAGACTCCAGAGTGAGCTTGAGCTCCTGCAGGCCCCTCTTCACCAGCTCTGGCTGACTGCCCAAACCCCGCAGCTTCACGGCCTTCACCAGATCAGCCAGTGCAGACACACGTTCAGCCAGCCGTCTGCACCGCTTCTTATTGGCTTTCACCTCATCACATAGGGAGTACAGCTTCTCCGCTATGCCCAGGATTGGGTCTACAAGGTCCATGGCTTCTTCAGGAAACAATTCAAGATGTCAAAGAAATGATTGGGAAACCTGCTTCACCTATTTAAATAAAAGGGAAATTCTACCAATTTTCAAAATTTCTGTGTAATATAATGGTTACAATGTAAACAAAGTCATACACTGTAGTTTGACGTAAAATGTAAAAATTCATTGCAGAGAAACCTACTGACTTAGATTTCTTTACAGTGGTAGTGATTGGAACCAGGTGTCACAATGTCCACAATCCAAATGGATTTCAAAATGTTCCTGGCTACATTTCATTAAAGATGAAGGGTGAGAAATGCTTCACTTTATTGAATAAGGGACCATCTAAGAAGTGCAACAGTGGAGGACTTCATGTGTATTATTTCTCATGGATTTAGTTAAAATAAGGCTAAAACACACTAAGTCACTTGCAGTAAAGAGTGGTTTAGGCCTAGGACAGGGGTCGGCAGCATGCAGCTCCGGAGCTGCATACGGCTCTTTTACTGCCCTGTTGTGGCTCCACAGCAGAATTAGATTTGTAGGTAAACATAAAGTAATCATCCTTTGCAGTAAAATAAAGCTCTGCTGATCGTTCTGACACAGTTTTAACAAACGCTGGTCTTAATGTATAACTGCTAAATCATCAACCTTTAACCCTGAAGGTTGGCGCGCAGACTGCTGGTCACCATAGCAATGCAGATAAAGTCTGGCTAGTAGCTAAGGAAAAGGCAAAGAGAAAGATTTGAGACAAACATTGATGATTTGGAGATGAAAGGACTTAAATTTATAATTTACAAACACTAAAAAATGTCAGCTTTTCACTCGCCAGCTTCTTGTTCTAATTTTCCTGTTCTACCTTAAATGGTGCAGCAGTTACATTCTGGCTCCCCAGGCACCATTTAAGGTGGAACGGGAAAATTTGAACAAGAAGATGGCGAATGAGGAGCTGACTTCAGCCTCGTTAAAAATGGTGAGAGACATTTTAAAAGAAACTATTCCATTTTTGTGGAAAAGTTTCCTGCCGGAGACACAAGAAAAGCAGCTACAGTTGAGGTAAAGCTTAAAGCATATTAAGTCTGCGTTTTCATTAATATTATATTTTTAGCCTATACTACATCAGCACATACTGAGACATATTTACAGCGAAGATGGTAAAATGGACATAAAATTGTTGTGGCTCCCAAGATGGTTTGATTTTTGTTGAAAGGGCAAAGTGGCCCTTCTTAACATTTGGGTTGCCGACCCCTTGCCTAGTACATTTTTATTCTGTGTGGGCTTCATTCTTGATTGTGTAAGACCACTTCTACACAAAGAGTCATGCTATAAATGCTTGTTAATTATTATGTGTGTACGCAACATGTTGCCCAGAGGCCATGCCATTGCTGCCTCTAAAATCTAAGGTTATTATGAGGACTCTTAATATTTTTTCTACATTTGGGTTTCCTTGAGTCTTGCAAACAAATCAAGGTTCAAATTTTATGCCTCGGTTGTCTAAACAGGTGTTGTCCCAACTAGACATAAAGCATCAAGTGTCTAGAGCGTATCAGCGCACCCTGGAGAGATTCCACCAGACACGTAAATCCATGATGTGTACCTACTGTACAGAGGCGAATAAAGTATGGGATGAGTGGTTGCCATTGCTTTTGTTTGCTGTGTAAGAGACTTTTCAAGAGTATTCAGGTTTTAGTGATCTTGTTTTCGCACATATATGCAAGGGCCTTTGAAGCTGTCCAAGGAAAATGTCTGGGGAATCCACGCCTAACCTTAATGTACATGACTATACCTGCCTGTTTTGTAAACATTTGCAACATGCATACCATTTGGCCCATTTGATTCATATTATCAGCTCAGGTGAAAATGAAAACGTGTTTTGACAAGAAGAGCTGTTTGTCATTCATTTTCAATAGATGACATTGGGTTGACTCTGCTACACATGCTACCCTGGATCCATGTTGCAAGCAATGTTTTCTGGTCCATGTGTAGTCGATACCAAATGAGACCGACTATGTAATTGGTACTACTTGATTGGACATTAATGTTGTAGCGCTCAACGCTATTAAATCAGACAGCTGTCTACCCAGCTCATTGCTCTCACCTCTCTTTGCTCATGCACACATTTTTTAAGCAATATTGTCAGGTGCCCTTAACCAGACAAGCAACTCAAGTCTCTACTTTTGTCACACCAGACAAGTTCTTACACTGTTATAGCCTTTGGCCTTCGAAATGCTACCGCCATGTTTTAACGTTTAATGAATCGTGTGTTGATGAGTGTTTCTGACTGTGAGTTATACTAGATGACATCGTGGTACACTCCATGCTGTGTTGGGTCGATCTATTTAAACTCAAGGAATTAATTGAGATGGTAATATGTAAAAAGCTTATGATTATGTAGTGATTATGTAACCTATAAATGATTATGTACAAAATCATTCGTAGAGTACTTTCGATTGGCTGTCCCAAACCCTAACTTCTAAATTTCAACTAGTGAAAATAATATTTACATTTTTTTGTTTTTTTCAGTTTTTAAATCTCTTTGTTTTATTTTAAAATGAAGTTGAAAGATTTACATTTGTCATGAGTTTAATTTTTAAATTAAAAAAATGCTGTCCCATGTTTCCATGGTTTTCAGTTTCAGTACATGGGCGGAGCCTTATTTTAGCCACACCCCTGCATTTTAGAGCAGGAAGTGAGACTGCATCCCTGTATGAAGGTCATGGCCACATGGTGAGCAGTTACATTCCATTGATTTAAAGTAAATGTGTCCCAAAGTCTGAAAATCAGAGTGTAACATTAAGAATTATCACTACTGAAACACATATTTAAGTAAACTTTTCTGTGTTTTAATTAAAAACATCATGATTTTATATGTGTGCAAGTGTTCAGAGCTGTGTTTGCTAGTCATGTACTAGCATTTTTGAGTTATGTTCAATATTAGCTACAATTGTCATTACCAGAGTATTTGGTGAAGCTGTGGTAGTGTTATGGTTGTTTTAGAAGTGACCAAATGCAATTTTCAGTCATTTGTTTTAATAAAATTAACAAAAATTAAGGTATTGAGTCACTCAAAGTCTAAAGTCCAAGTCAGTTAAAAGTTTGAAATGTGTTTTGTACTTTGACTTTGAACCATTTCAGTAGAAGGATCCATATACAAACCACAATCTTCTCACCTTTCTCTTTCGAATGCGAAGTGCAATTTGACGCATTGACTGTCCAGAAGTTTAATCTTGAAATTCGCTATAAAAAGGGGAGAGATTTGAATCAGATGGCCTCTTATATAAACTAACAATTGTGTAACCCGACATGAGATGTTGGTTTTTGGTGATGGAGTGTTCATGGGTGTTTTAGTGAAAGAGGGGAAGCATTTTATTTTTTTAATCATCAAACATATAATCATTCATAAATGTATGTGTTTAATGATATAGGTGTGTAATGACAAAGACAATGTGCTGCTACATATATTGGTTTTGACATGTTGAAATATCCAGTTACAAGTAGGTCATTATTTCAACATTTCTTGTTCTGCCTTTGCCGGCTAATTATTGTTATTTTCAGTTGGTGCCGTGATTCACTGGCTTACATGCAAACGTAGTTCCAGTGAAATTAGCTTTAGAAACTCCTCCAGTATGTTCTTTTGTGAAGGAGGGAACGTAGAGGTGGCCTGCCCTTTTTGTTTAATGCTTTTGACTTTCTTTATTGTGAGTGTAGTAAGCTTAGCATTTTTTGTCTTTTTTTTTTGGTAGGTTAGTCATTTAATTCTGTTTTCTTTTTAGGATCTTTTGTTTGTTGTTTTGGGCCTTGGGCCTCCCTCAAGTCATGTAGCATTTTCTTCCTATTTCAAGCATTAAACCATCCATTGCTGGAGATGGCTGGTTAAAATGATTTTTGCAAGGCGCTAAATGATTGACTGAATTCACTATTTGTGTTACTGATAAGTTATTGATTATGTAATGATGGATTATGGATTATTTAAAAATCAGTGCTCTTCATCTATTTTTCATTAAGATAGCCACCTCATAGCCAGTTAAGGAGTTGACTTCTTTATAGGGCTCTGTTGCATTGATTACAGTCAACACAGTAAACACATCCACATAGCAGATGGGTGAAGTATAGCAACAGTAAATACAAACACATAATACCTGTCTTTGGATGCTTCCTCTTCCTCAGCACCTGATTGTGTGTCAGTGAGCTTCTATGTGTTCACTGGAAGAAAAAATACAAAAATGAAGCTCTTTACTTTCCTACAGGTTATTCTTAGACATCTCGATACATTCTGAATATTTATTTATGGATTTATTTATGGATTTATTTATTTATTTATTTTGCAATTCATCCCCAAATGTCAACTGTTCTTCTACATGTTCTTCTTTCAGCTCAGTTTAAAATACTGCTAGTTTTTCTAGCCCTTGTCCTCTGTAACGGCACTTTATTATCCTGATTGAATTTTTTATTAGATTTTTAATTGAATGATTCTCTCTTTTAAATCTATTGTTTTAATCTTGTTTCAATCATGGATTGAATTTCTATTGTCCTTTACTTTACTTTTTAAATGACTGTGTATTTTCCCTTCTGTAAAGCACATTGAAAGACAGCAGTGTATGAGAGGTGCTATATAAATAAACTTGCCTTGCCTTGCATTATGAGCCAAAATACTACAGGAACACAACCCATTCAGAGGGGGTCTTTAGGCCCCTGACTAATGATACCTGCTCTTTACAAGACTACTCATATAAATGGTTTATAAATGATTTAAAATGAACTTATTAAAGGTTATTTTAGGTAATAAACACCTTAAAATCATTAAAAAGCAGTTACAACACATAAATGAAAGGGCGACAGTGACCTGTTGCTTGCCACATAAAGACCCCACGTTCCTCTATCATGTTAAGATGTAGATTATGCAGGTTACTTATCTCACTTTTCACTTCTCCATCAGTCAGCATTAAACCTGTTAGCTTCATCCAGTATTCAAATTCATCAGATTGTTGTTGTCCTTTTTACTTATGTGGTATAACTGCCTATTAATAACTGTAAAGGTTTTTACGACCTAATTAATGATCATTAATACACACATTTTAAACCATTCATAAACACTTTTAAGGGCAGTCTTATTGTAAATTGATGAATTATACCACAATACAACACAATGCAATTTTCCGAGCATGTCGTGGACATTGTCAGTGATTAAAAAACACGGAACAACTCAACGTTTCATTAAAAGAGAGCAGAGTTAGGCCTGTTTAACTAGATTTAGTGTAACGCAGCATGTGAAACGGTAAATAAAAGTCATTGCACCATAATTTTTGATAGCACTAAATGCGGCACTGCTGATGCATTCTGTTCCATACAGCTTATCAAACTGCATGAAACTAAATTCGTGATACATAGAGTATATATCATAAAATATGTTCAAGTATCGTGATATTGTATTTTTTACCATATCGCCCACCCCCACTCTGCAGCTCTAGTGCTCTGAAATTCACAACTGTAGCTTTAAGAAGGCTGAGTGTGAGTAAGGAAGTGAAACTTGCTTGCTGTTAGTGAGAAGCCTGTGAATTTGAAGGTAATGTTTGATTTGAAGTTTTACTGCATTTAGGACACTGTTCTGACTTTCTGACTTTCTTTGTCTTTCTATTTTTCTAAACCACCCAGAAGACTACAGAATTAAGAACTGTGGGATTTTAACACAGCAGCAAGAGGACTAAAATGCACTAAGGAGACAAAATCCAGTTAACTACTCATTCATATCCCAAAAAAACTTTCACTTTTAAAATTGTGAGCAAAATTGTGAAAGTTCCTCTTACAGTATACAATCTTGGCTGTAAACTTTCAGCAACTTCAACCACTGTAACAACACAGCATAGGCACATTAGCTACAGGTGCCTGTACTGGCCAAAAAGCCATAAAGGAAAAAAAGAAGATAAGTTAAATCTGATAGTTAAACTTCTTTGTGATGTTTTCTGTCACTTTTGTTTTTTTTGGTTATTGAGCAATAACTACCTCTAAGCATTTCTCAGTCTTCTTCTCTTTCTAGCTTTAATGCCCTTTGGCAAAACAAGCTTGAACAAGGCAAAGAAATCCAGCCATTTGACTTCCCCACTAATAATGGCTAAGCTGATGTCAGCAGTGATATAATTTAACATGGTACATGTCCAACACAAACACAACTGACACTGACATTTTTTGACCTTTTTATACATTTTACTTTTGACCCCAAAGCACATCTGAGCTTTCAGGGTATCTCAGTAATTCACAGTCTGTATAACTTACATCAAACATGAGAAGAAGGTAAAACAGTGGGAGGCCAATCACCAACCTATGTTAAACAGACACAGATATATAAATAAGAGTTGTAGAAAAAGAGAAAAAAATAGGCACTTACCGTGGAAGGCTTCTTGTCACAGAAGATTCAAACCACACTGAGCTGAACAGAGGAACTAAGGCCACGCCTTCCTCTCCATGGCCTCAGTCTCCTCCTGTTACTGCACTAGTAATGTAAGCTCACTGCTGTAAAGGCCATATTCACCTTCACCCACAGCAGGTATCAAAACAATAACAAAAGGTGTGTTGCACTCACATAACAGTATCCCCAGGCTTCTGTTTGGGGGTATATAAGCAAGTTTGTTCAAGGGCCTGTATCCTAGATTTTTTAGTATTTTATTATTAATATTTGTGTGAGCTTATATTACTAGCGTAGTAACAGGAGGAGCCTGAGGCCATGGAGAGGAAGGCGTTTCCTTAGTTCCTCTGTTCAGCTCAGAGTGTGGTTTGAATCTTCTGTGACAAGAAGCCTTCCACGGTAAGTGCCTATATATGTATATATATATATATATATATATATATACATAAGAGCTCTGTTGGGCGGAGTTGGGGCTAAACAGCAGTGAGTATGTACATTGTGTCTGTTTCTGCAGCTGTTTCCTTATATGGTCTGTGAAGACTGGGGACAGAATGGTACGTTTAGAAACTTTAACAGTGTTTACATCTACATCAAACTAAAAAAAATATAAGGAAAATTTCTTTTTCCATAATATGGAATCCTTAATCCACTTAGAAATCCAAGTTCATAATTCTGACTCTGAAATAAAACTGTTTATCATAAATGCTATGATATGTTTTGCATGCCTCATGGAAGCAAATGGAAGTCACAGTCTAGTCAGAATGATGGCAGTTTGTGTTTAATGAACCACTGATAGACTTGCTACTGAGTCGCTGGTGTACTGTTTATATTTTTAATAAAAGATTTAAAGCAGAATCAGATATATGAAGCACATCAGGTCTAAAGGCAAACTCCAGCATTTTTCAACCTAATCTCTATCTGATGCCTTTATATCATATGATTAATGATTTAGGATAATAACAAAATAAAGAGAGCAAATAAAAGCAAATAAAAAGCATATAAGCTGGTTTTACTGGAGCTCTTTCTCTTTCTTAGCAGCGGGGCCGGTCACTTTCTGTCCGGAAGAACCTCTTGAGGAAGAAGAGCTGGAGGTAACCGGACATGACGATGATGAAGCTTTGGAGGACGGACCAGGTGTTCACGTAGTTGGACTTGGACTGAAGCAGGTAGTAGTCAGCCCCTCTGCGCATTCGTGCTACATTATAGAAGCGCCACACGTGCTGGATTCGTATGCGTAGCTTATTTGAAATGTCCTGGGCAAACAAAGAGACAGTCACAATAAAAGCAAGTAACATACCTGCATGAACGAGGATTAACACAGGCAACTTTCAGTGTATATTATGAATGGCCTATTGTATGTTATAAGAGGCATAAACTAGACTTAAAGCTACATTGGAAACACATATAAACATACCTATGATTAAGAGGGCATTCGATTCAATTTTCAGTGGCTGTAATATGAAGGGATTCAGTCCAGACACTTTCTCTGTACCTGCATGTTGGAAAGAGTGCTGTTCAGAATGCCTTCTTCCATGTCAATCTCCTTCTGGGCCTCTGTAAGTTCCTCGTAGTACACACCGAAGTTCAGAAAGACTCGCATGTCTCCAAAACGGTTGTGAAGGTTGGCTAAACACATCTGATAAAAACCTACAGAGAGAATGAAAATAACCCTTAGAGCTCTCTTTGGACTAGTGTTTTTTCTTTTTTTATATATATTATTTATATTATATATCAAGCAGTGACTCATATTGGCTCATATTTATTAGAGGGGAAAATCTTTAACAATGATTCAGTTTGATTACAATGAAATATGTAGTTTCACCACAACTCGATTCAGCTCACTAATTTTTTTCCTATGATACAGAATAATTTTAAAAGATACACTAAATACAAATTTTTTATGCTTAAAATGTTGTATACTATAATAATATAGTAGTATCATATCATACTGTTATAGTAAATACTATAATATACTATATTATACACTGATCGGCCACTTCATTAAGTACTTGCTTCTACATTAATTGTCCATTTTAACAGCTCCACTTACCATATACTGTAGGTTCACTTTGTAGTTCTACACTTACAGACTAAAGTCTGTCTGTTCCCCTTTTATACTGTTCTTCGAAAGACAGGACCACCATAGAGGAGGTATCATTTGGGTGGTGGATCATTCTCAGCACAATACTATGATATCGCCATTGTCCAAAAAAATTTGCATGAGAGGGCAAAAACATTCTTTTCTTTTAATGTCTGTTAATGTAAGGAGAGTTTTGGAGCAATGAAATTATAGTGTAAAGGGCAGCTGCTGAGCTCAAATGATAGAAAAATAAAAAAAATGTATATACTTGTTTCTTTTTTTATTATTAAACTCAGTTATAGTTGATTTTAACATTCCAAATGGATCAATGCAGCTAAATTGTCACCTTCAGACAGATTAGTCATGTTTTTTTACACTCTCTATATCCTAATGATATATAATAAGTATAGTAAATCTAGGATCAGTTTCTTTACTTTACTCTTTAACTTGGCATGTCATTGTTGAGCTCAGCAGAACTGATAAATATAGGATACTTATGGTCTTTGTCATGTTGGCTGAGAAATGTATTCCACCTGTCTCTGTTGTTTGGAAGCTCATCTGGCCTGTAGCATCATCCACGAAGGAGACGAGGATGCCTTTAGGAGAGTGAATGGAGACCGCTAGGTGTCTGTCTCCAATCATCCCAGACACCCACTGAACCTGCACACACAGCACATATAACCACAGCAAATATAACAGCATCTCAAGAGCTGTAAAAACCCTAAACCAACTGAGTACAATATTATAACATGGTCTGAGGAATATATAGGCAATTAAATGATTTCTCCAAAAAATTTCAGTATCTTTGGAAACATTGAAGTGAATGTACATAATTCTTTGTTCCACAGGCCATTCAGTATGATTTCTAATAAGTAGAACAGAATATAAAAGCATTGCCTAAAAGGCAAGGCAAGACACAGGCCTAACCACATATGTTTTTTTAACAATTCTAGTATGAAAGAACTTTGAAATCAAGAAATCAACTGTTGGATTTACTTAAAAATGATATGTCAGCTTTTAAGATGCTCAGTTGATTAATGTGTACTCAATGAATTCAAGTAAATCAAGTGAGTTCTAATTAGCTGGACTGATCATTTTTACATACCACTCCAACAATCAACTTCATATGTTTATGTCCTAATAATTAAAGCAGAAATAGAACATAAAGTAACCAGATCTAATTTAGACCTACATAATTTCATCATCATAATTTCACTGTCAAGTTCTCACTGTGCTGTTGAGCTGTTGTAGAATTATGCTCAGCAGTAGGTTTCAGGTTAATTTGCTGTTACAGTCAAACAATATAGTTAGGCAGTAAACTGTGGAGTATCAGAAAGATATGCACAAAATGGTAGATATTGGGGGGATAAAAAGCATGAAGAGGGGGGAGCAAAACAAGTAAAACAGTTAAAAATAGATGCAAACAGATGATGCCAGGAGCCAATGGGAAACATGATGAGTTTCTGATGAGATTGCGTTAACCAAACATACTTGTGATGTCATTCTGACAACTTAATTTGTTTGAAGCAACACGACTAAATTAGTTTCACTGAGTTACATTTGTTGAGTAATATCAATGAGCGTAAACTGATTTCATTTTTTGAGTGTGTTATAAAATGTGCTATCTAGCATTTTTTGTGACTGATATTTTCCTTTTAATGAATTAAAAACACTAGAGAATGTTCCAACTGTACTATATGGCTTCATATCTTAGCAGGGAGTTAAAGACATTGTTTTAACTCTATTGTTTGTGGGGGTCTGACTTTCAGTTCTTTAGTAATGCGGCTTTAAGAGAGCTGTGCAATCTGCAGTCTCGAAGAAAAAAACACATCAGATAAGTGAACAGCATACTTTTTCTGATAAGAGGACAACCAAGGCAAGGTCATTCAACGTTATAAAAGATTGTTCCTGTCCACTTATTACAACACAGCACTTCACTAAAACCCTAGTAGATTTATTCCTCAAGCAAAGTGAGCTTCCCCAAACATACGACTCAGCATATTCAGTGGGAGCCAAATGCAACTCAATCAGAAATCTGCAAGATTCATTTCTACAAGCGATTTAAACTCACCATGTAAGAGAGGTAAAAACGGCCGTCCTGACGAGCATAGTGCCAGTAGCATTGCGACTCTTTGCCAGACAGCTGGACGGCAAAGTCATAATGATCTGACCACTGAAGGAGGCGATGACCTTTGCGACCTTCATCTGATGTAGTCTTCTGACTCTCACTCTCATATCCCAAAATGAGCAGGATGAGGAGGATTAAAGAGTGCATGTCTCAGGCTCATACCACATACACACACAGCCCTGCTCTCTGATTAAGGACTCGTGGGGCAGCATTAGCCCCATGTGCAGATTGGTGTGAAACATAAGGGTCTGGGAAATGATTAACTTTACTCAGCAAATACACCACATTACGTTATGACAACTATCATATTTTAAAACACGCTTTTAAAAACAGATGCAGAAGATACGAGAAAGTGAGGACCTAAAATATATATACATATATATATATATATATATATATATATATATATATATATATATATATGTTTATACTGAAAAAATCCAAGCAATTTGAGACAACTGTAAGCTTTATTCAGTCTCATGCATGTGTGACTGAGAAGAAACAGACAGGAAATGGAACAATAGGAAGGTGATTAAAAAATAATCTGAGCAAACACCCTTATCAAGTGTAAAGGCTCAGATCAGCAGCGGGGCTTGTCTGTCTCTGTGGTGGTCTTGGTGTCGAACAGCTTCTTGAGGAAGAAGAGCTGCAGGTACCCAGCCATGATGATGACGAAGCTCTGGACGGCTGACCAGGTGCTGACGTAGTTGGAGTTGGACTGGAGCAGGTAGTAATCTGCCCCTCTCCTCATTCGCTCAAAGTTATAGTAACGCCACATGTGGAAGACAAAGGCCTGCACGTGGGAGGAGCTTTCCTGTGCAAATAATTGACCATTTCAGGGAAAAGTCTGGAATTATAACTACACTACAACAAGGTTTTTTATTTATTTTAAACTATAGCACTTCTATTCGTCCAAAATTGAAAAGAAATACCAGAAAAGCGATGAAAAGACACTTCTTCATGATTATAAATCCATGCTTTAACTTACCTCAATAGTAGTGAGTGTGTCATTCAAGTGCTTCCTGTCCTGCTCTTTCTTAATCTCCTCTTCCTCTTTCTGTTTTTTGACATCCTCTGAATCTTCATAGTACACACCAAAGTTCAGAAAAATCTGCATGCTACCAAAGCGGTTGTGGAAGTTGCTGAAGCACATCTGATAGAAACCTGGAATAAATATCCAAGCATGTATAAGAAAAAAAAGTAAATATAAAAGAAGCAATAACCATCATAATAATTCACATTATTATATCAGCAGTAACTACTTTATTTTCAATTGACCAAAGACTTTGGAGAAGTTATAATGTTTTTCATTCTTTAAAGGAACCGTTTCTACTGTAACCTTTTTTTGTTCTTTAAAGACCCAGAGTACCTAAATCTGTGTTTCCTTTCTAATTAGGTTAATCTTGTTCTTGCAGGCAAACAGTAAACATGTACTAAGTTTACCCTTTGAACAATGTTCCAATGACCAATAAATGACCATTATATATCACAGTTTCAAAGTCAGAGAAACTTAGCGAGCTAAAGCTAATCCAGCATAACCAAAAGCATAACCTGTGTTGTTTCATTCGTCCGTCTGCACATCTGTTCATACGTAACTTTTTTCGTCTGGTTACCGTCACATAAAAGTTGGATAATGATTTTAGTTCTGTATGAGTGGCTGAGCAGGCTAGGAATGTTGGACAGAGAGCTGTCAATCAAGTTGCTCGTTAGCCATGCCCACACAGTTCTCAAATAGGTCTGATCAGCAGTTTTTAAAATCATGTTTTATCATATTTATATCATATTTGTCATGCAAGCTTTGTTGGATGTTTAATATAACACTAAAGTAGTATCATGCAAACATTTTTAATGTTTTACTGTGTTCTCTGGGACTCTAAAATTTGTTTTGTACTGGAATAAACAATGCAAATGTTGAGATATTGAGAATTTGAGACAGAATCATCTTTGGCACACTTGGCTAATGTATGACAGTACAAACCAGCTTCTCTCACTCACTCACCAGTCTCTCTAGCGTTAAAGGCAATCTGACCCTTAGCATCATCTGCCGAGCCCACGATAAGGCCACTTGGAGCATTGACAGTGACTGAGAGATGCCTGTCATTGGCCACTCCGGTCACCCACTGAACCTAAACAAGCCACATGCAGATGACTGATGACTTCACATCACATTGAGTTCATAAAACACTTATTACTAAAGACTTCAGTGATTGAAAAAATAACTTTGCTATTGGGAAAATCCTTTTCCTTACCCTGCCTTTTATACTGTGGGAACACTACACCAGTGTATTATGGTCCATAATTACTTGGATTTTTTTCTATATTAACTTCCATTATGTGTTTAGAATGTATTTTCCCTCTTTGAAAAGTTGATATTTTGGAGACCTTTTGCTCTGACAGTGATGACAGATATTAGTGGTATATATTAGTGAATGCAACCTTTTGAACAGTTTGGCTTCCAAAACTGGGGTTCAAAAATTTTTTTTAAACATAGACAGAAAATAAGATTCCTAACAACCTTGTGAGACCTTGTAGACCACCAAAATTGTCCCCATTAGACAAACAGTACTTCTTTCATCTTTGAGAGAGAGGAGAAAATCAAGCTTCACTCTTATTTCAGATCTGAAAAAAAATCAGTGTTTCTGTCTCTCCTTCCTCTGTGGGAAGACAACACTAAGAGTCTGAAAGGATGTGTAGCTGTCAAGAAGCCCTATCTGAGTCCAGACCTTAACATCATTCAGTGTGTTTGGGATTACTTGGATTGTGAAAAACCACAGGTGTAACCAACTTCTAAGACTGAACTTTAGAGGTTGCAATCACTAATTTATTAATGTTATTATCAAATCATTAATATAATCAGTATTTAATTAATATCAAATCATTCACATAAAACATTTTGTTGCAGATCCATACAGACAATGATGCTATTAAGATGTTGGTACACATCATAGGTTTCAACTCATTTGTAAAAAATGAATAAAATATTCTATATGTTCAGAATGATGAACAGAGCTGCTGATGATTCTATAATGACTGAAAGTTGCATAACATTGAGAATGAAGTTATAATAAAATCTTTATCCAGAATGCCTTGTAGCTGAAAAGTGATGAACAAATCATGAGGTAGATAACTTCTAAAGAAATGATTGTAAATAAATTATTACAGTATACTATTCATCATTTATTATTACATCCGGCTGTTCAAAAAAAAAAAACACTTGATGTATTGAATAAAATATCTTCAAATACTTTCTGGTGTATGGCTTATAGTACATGATACTGAATAAAAATAAAAGCAATTATAAATATGAAAAGTGATTCTAAATAGTTGAATGGTAGTCTGTATACATTATTCCTGTTTCCAGAATGAATTAATAAGATTCACATAATATGCCAACTGTTAAAAACACTATTTGGACTCCCCTCAGTGAATGACCATATGGTGGTGGCAATAACTCACTGAGGTGTTCTGACCTGTATGAAATAAAATGCATTATCTTTTACTTTTCCTGCAGAAAACACGTTGTGTACCAAGTACCGAGTAATTAACACCACTACTATAACTGAAATATAACCTGTTCAATCACTACAACAGCAACACATCACTCACAACAGAACACATAAAATATACATCATCCACATGTACACCAAAGTGTCACTGTTAATAGCCATAGCCGTGGTCATATATGGTCATATTACCATAAAGTCGAGGTAGAAGCGTTCTCCTTGGTGAGCAAAATGCCAGAAGCACTCGAGGCCTGAGGCAGGGAGCACGATAGCAAAGTCATACTGATCTGCCCCCCAGAACAGCTCCTGGTCAGACACATCAGGCCGCAGGTCCTTCACTGCTCCGCCACACTGCCATCCTAACAACAGCAGGAGGACACAGCACCACCACCACCACCCAGCTAACATTACAGAACTGCAGAGAGCGTGTCTGGTGACCTGTTTATTGAGTGAAGACGTCTGAGCTTGTGAGGTACTGAAGCCTCACTCTGAAACATCAGCAGATTATTAACTCTGAACCTGACGTGTGGCTCACAGAGCGTCCACAGTGTCTATGAGTGGGAAAATTCATGTTAGGACCCAGGTGCTGCTGGCTCCCCCCCACTAAACCACACTTTTAAACGTGTTAGTACACTTCACATACCTACATTGACCGCATAATACATAAATAGTTACAGTGGGAAAGCCAGTTAAAACAGCCAAGTGTAAGTTATTCATTTTTCAGGAGATATTTCTGAGGACATTAGATATAAGGTAATCCACTTGTGTAAGGAAGAGGAAAGAGAAAGGAAAATAACTGAAAAAGAGTCTCCAAAAATGAAATAACCTAACAACTGGACATCATCTTTGAGAGAGAGGAGAAAATCAAGCTCTACTCTTGATTCAGATCTGAAAACATCCACAAGTGTTTCTGTCCATCATTCCACTGTGAGAAGACAACTCAATGGATGTGTCTTATGTCAATAAGTCGTTACTGAGAAAAGGAAACAGACAAAAAATAAGGAAGTTTCCTAATAAAACAAAGAAGCCAATGGACTGACCACAGAGTGCTCAGAGTCCAGATCCCAACATCACGGAATGTGTTTGGGAATACTTGGATCATGAGAAGGAGAATATGCAACCAACTTCTAAGACTGAACTTCTGAAAAATATCCCTGCAGATTTCTCAGAAAAACTGAAAGCAAACCTTAAAAACATAATGAAAGCTATAATGAAGACAAAAGCTGAAATTTTTGATATTATATTTAATTGTTGAGGCTTCTGTGTAAATTCCTGTTCAATACTTACTGACTGTTTTGACTGGAAAGTAAATAAATGAAGGACAGTCTCTGGCACAGTACTGTGTGACACTGCAACACAGTAAAAAAGAAAAATACACTGGATGGTACAATGAGTGCTTTCCATTTACCACACTAGCAGCCTGGCAGTTAATTCAGACAATGTCTAATGATCAAATTCAAATTAGAGCACTAATCCAAATTACAAACTGAATATACAAATATATCAGTAGTAAAAGTCAGTTATGGCAATAATCCTGAGAGGCTTTGAGCTGTAAAATGTGCACAATCTGAATAGTTGTAAAGACTCATAAATTAAAAAATACTCATTATAGCTCCACAGTAGAGTTCTTACTGATTTTGCACCAGTGTCAGTCTGTACATAAACAGGTTGATTGTGTAAAATGACAAAATTGTCGGAGACGTCATTTAAGGCAATTAACACTGTGATGAAACAATGAAGGGTCAGTAAGTCTTGGTTTTTGGGAGTGAAATATGTAAGTATAGCAAGACATTTAGCACAATGTGGATTTAAGAGGTAGTACAATTTGACCACACGGGTGATATAAACTCTTAGGAACAGTGCGCAATGGAGAATTTGAAAAGCATTCTTTAAAAAAAATGTGTTAAAAATAAAATTAAAACCACAGTATATAACATAAACCAAACATCTGATACCTTTTGATCACCCTGATGCCTATTAATTAAGACATAACATAAAGCACAACACCAAATGATTAAATGCAAAATTAACAAACTAAGTAAATAAATAATTTCACAAAATTAAAAATGATACAAAGTATAAAAAATAGTCTTTAGGATAAAAAAGCAGATATCTTAAACTCTGCCTTCAAACTATAGGATAAACAACTGTTCTTGATGTAAAGGTCTCTACTGAGTTGAATATGTTCCAAATTCCCGCTCAACTCATACAACAGCTATTCAGACTCTCTGCATTCATAACCTTGATGTTGAGGCAGCCCACATATGCTCAGTGGGAGCAGCATTTTGCTCATCAGTAGCAATATTTGTTCCCACATTGTGTGTGTGTGTGTGTGTCAGACAGAAAATTCAGGTCCAGCCCTCAGGGTTTGTGAGGTGATGAGTTTTCTCAGTCGCAGCCCAGCGAAAGGGTTAATCCAGACTAAAGATGGCTGCCCTCCAAACACAGTCTTCATGCTCTCCCACCGCACACGTCTGCCTTTCTTGAGCTTCTCATCCTTCAGCCGCTCAGCCACCTAGACGACAGCACCGCACATACATACACGTTACATAAAGGTTTACATACTTTTAGATTTAAATGATATTTATCATTTAAAAAGAACTTACAAAACACACTTGTTTTGTAATAGTGAAGCTATTTATCACTACAGAAATTTGCACGTTACAGTCGTACACAAAGTTTAAACACATCCAGTAAAACTATGTTGTGTTGATTTAAGTTAACACAGGGAACAAACTAAATTTCAGTGCACAACTTCTTTTTATTTGCTAGTTTAATACACACTCCTGTGCAAAAAATGGGCCAAGCCCAAAGTAGCAAAATATTAAGCTTTCAATGGTCTTAACGACAAATCATTTGCCAGTAAATTAGCAAGAATTAAACAAATAGATAAAATAAACTAGTAAGGGATAGCTTTTCCCTCTGATTTCTTTAAAAGTTGAAGTCTTGAGCTCGATAGCTTCATGAAATTGATTTCCATGACTGACCAGCTGCACACAAGCCTAAGATCACCAAGTGCAATTCCAAGGGCCAATGGACCCTGGAACAGTGGAAACGTGTTCTCTGGAGTGATGAATCACGCTTCACTATCTGGCAGTCTGATGGATGAATCTGGGTTTGACAGATGCGATGAGAACGCTACTTACCGGACTGCATATCGCCAGCAGTACAGTTTAGCAGGATAAAGGAGGAATAATGGTCTGGGATTGTTTTTAGGGTTTGTGTTAGACCCACTGATTACATTGAAGTGTAATGTTAATGCTACACCATGCAAAGACATTTTAGACAATTATATGCTTCCAATTTTCTGGCAACAATTTGGGGGAGGCTCTTTCCTGTTCCAGCACGACTATGTCCCTATAGACAAAGTGAGCCAGGCCTTCCTGCAGTTATAACGGACAGGTGTCTGCATACTTTTGGTTAGTGTATAACTATGGTTAATATAATACACGCAAATTTCTGTGATGATGAACTGAACTGTTCAACACCAAAGTCTTTTGGTAGTTGATGCATAAGAGATTTCATGGAACAATTCACTGAAAAAACGTACATTTCCACTTATCTCAAATGCACAAATCCTCATGCACAAATATACATACAGAGCCATAATTACCCATTCATTTTTAGTTGCAATTTAAATTAGGACACCAAAGCTCAACTTGTATTGTCCTGAGGGGAAAATAAATTACCTATAAGTGAGTCTTGAAAATGATCTTGTCGAACAGTATTAACCTAAGCCGTGTTTCTCTCTAGAGCAGATGAAAGCTGAATAATTAGACAGTGTGGGAGTGAGGCTCACCATCTCATCACTGCAGATGGACTGGATCTGTGTGCTGAACATCACCGCAGTGAAGGTGAGGAAGAGGATAGCCTCCAAGAAGAGGAAGATTATCAGCAGCACAGCCACAGGGGGAGAAAAATCACTACATTCTGCAGAAGTGAAAAAAACACATACTTAAAAAATGTTATTTTTATTATTATTCTTATTTTCTGCCTGTAAGAGTCCTCTGCAATTTTCCATCATTATATTCTGACATAATAAAGGAGGATAATGGTTAATGCACAATGAATACAAATACACAGATATGATTACAAAATGGTGTACATGATATTTGTGCAGTACACTGTCTGCATCTAATGAACTGACTCACCGCTCCAATCAGTCCTGACACATGTGAAAAACTGAAGCACACTCAGGACCAGAGCATAGGTGGAGATCACAGCTATGTACATCTACAGAAAATGGAAGGTAGACAGAAGAAGAGACTTAGCTTGTAGTCGGTAGTGCAGGAGGCCCAATCCTGATCCTTGCAGAGTTCATCTCCAACTTTCCAGCTGGTTTTATTTATGGTATCATTTGACCTTTTATAGCAAATATTTTTTAATTATTATTTTATTTTAAACTTTAAATGTTTTTATTATATGCTATTTCTTGTTGTCTCATATCACTATCTTATGTTTTATACTTATTTATATATATATATGTTTTTACCTTCACTGTTTTCTGTTTCTTCTTTTATGCTGGCTTTTATTTGCCTTTGTCATTGTAAAGTCCTCAGTCCCTGCACTTTAATCTATGAAAGTTGCTATATAAATACAGTTTATTTGTAGCAGTAGCAGTAGATCTCCAGGACTGGGGCGCTCCTGCAGGAGTCTATCTAACAGAACTGACAAGCAATCCCTTCAAAAGTTAGTGATAAAATGTTAAGTGCCCTCCAGAAAGTGCAAAAGAAGTTGATGTCTATCAACACGGTCTGATCCTTCAGCTTTGCTCTTAAAATCAGCTCCAACATAAAACCGGAAACCAACCTGTAGGGTTACTTCTGAAAAGTAGTCTAGAACTTAACTTCAGGCTAATTGTTCAGTTATTAACCTTGAGACTTATTATTCAGTAACTACTGTACATTTTCTGTGACTGTTTTAAAATATAATGTATGTTATGCCTTTATAACAACAAGGAAACAAAGTGTTGGGTTTAAAGGGCAATGGAAAAGTATCAAGTCCTATAATCATCATCATCATCATCATCATCAATAAGCTGTCTCCATACTTACAGTGAAGAGAACAAAAAAGCGCTGGTTATTCTCCCCCACACAGTTGTTCACCCAGGGACAGTGGTGGTCCATTTTTCGAATGCAGCGCTTACAGATACTGCAGAAGAACAGAAAGCACAGCAGATAAACATAACAAAAAACAGCACTATGACGCAGGTTGTAGGATATAATTATTAAATGACAGTAAATAACATCTTCTGTTGTTGCCGTCTTGTTTTTTGTCCCATAATTGTCTTCAGCTGGGGCCCTGGTGCCTTCCTCACCTGCAGTGATGCGCTCTTTGTGGTTTGATGCTGCAGCATTTCGGGCACTTGTAAAGGACTTCTCCTGGTTTTAGCTGCAAGCTGCTCATGTACTCCTTGGTAGCGTTACCCTTAGGGACTGCTCCCTGGAAGAAATCAGAAACACAATATGACTGAAATTCATCCCTGCTAGAGGTGGGCAACATGATGATATTTTATTGTTATCATGATCAATTTTATTATCATGCTACACAATATGCTTTTCCAAGCATTTTGTTGGTATCGTTTGTAAACAAAATATTTTAAAAAAATATTGTGTATTCCGAAAATATCTTTAGGAATCATGAGTTGATATTTTTGCCATATCACCCACCCCAACCCGTTCTATAACTCACTCACTCCGCCCTCTGTGTTAAAGAAGTACTCCAGCGTTTTTCTAACCTAAATCTGCTTTTATTATCAGTATGTATCAAGTCAACAAGTTATCTTTTCTTTTTTGAGTGCAGGGAAACATTTTTAAATTATTCCTTGTGGTAATCGATTATATTACAGATCCGCCTGTTAGAGATTAGGTTGAAAAATGCTGTAACTGGCAGGGTGCAGTCAGACGAACTCATGCTTACTAGTTCAACAAGATAAGTGTGAAGATACGTATATCGAACCTTACAGTAGCTGAAGTGCTGTGAAAAGAAAATGGTGCAGGCCTGTTGCACTTTTCCTTACCGGGTCTGTGAGCATTGTGCGCAGGTGGGAGGTCAGTGCCAGGACAGCCAGGCAGTTGAACAGCACCCCATTGACCACAGCATATGCCACGCTTTTAGAGGGCAGTAGCATGACGAAGGTGACGACAAAGTCAGCATAAAGCACCAGGAACCAGGTGATGAAGGCACAGACCATACCACAGCCATCCTGAATGAACCATACACGAGCAGTTGCTTCCCTCAGTGAGGCTGGACTAGCAACCTGTTCCAGCAGAGGGTGCTGCTGTTCCTCCTCACACAGCCGGTGAGACTGCATCCTGGACAAACCAGAAGAACACGCTGAGAGAAGAGAGAACATATTCATATTTCACTGATGATGTTGGTGAAATGTAACATCACTGCATTCATGTGCTCATCCACAAATGAAACATGCAGTATTAACCCCAGACATGGCTATAAAGCAGCAGGGAAGCAGGAACCAGAGCAGACCTCACTTTAGTCTTCACATCTGCTTCAAATGTTGTTTCACTGCTTTCATTAGACTCGTTCAAACTCCTGTTGACTCCAGAGGAATTGTCCACTACCTAAAATGACATAAACAAAAAGAAGTGTTAATGTTTCTGGGCAAGCAAGTCTTATAATAAAAGAACAGGACAGAAATGTCCCACAAAGGATATGCAAGCCATCAACCGTCCTTTGTACAGCAATTATCTTTAGATATGAATCAATGCTATGTGCATATGCTGATATGATATGTATGCATTATTTAATTAATCACCTGATACAGGAACCTATTATAATGCTAGCTGTTGGAATTCATAACAGAATATCGATAACTTAACGTTACCCTTTCCTTTCCTGTGATACAATGTGGATGCAGACAGGCACGCTAGGCTTTATCTCTTATCAACTGACTTCATCTTCAGCTTTGATTTAAACATTTTTATCATAGCCCTGCCTGCATCCGGATCCCGTTAAACACTACCCCGGTAGCCATCTAGCTAAACTGCTAACGTACCAAAACAGGACGATATTGCGCTGACTTTATCGTGCAGGCATCCATGTTATTTCAACATTACTAAACGTGCTTACCATTGAGGCAGGGTGTCGACTTTCCAGGACATTTTTAATATAAATGAATGAAACAAAATCAGCACCATGAAGCCATCTTTCCAGGGTGCTCCCTTCTGTCCATTAACTAAATTGTAGTTTTTGGATTGGTTTGCCCCATGTGTTAAACCCCAGACTGAACTACATTTCCCATAATGCACCGCCCGGTATTTTTCAACACGCGTTTTCCTGGTCCGTTCTAGTTTTTCCTGTTCTTACATCTAATACATCGACAAGAGATAAGAGCTGACCTAAAAGAAGTGTTTTTGAATCAGACGATCAATGACCCGAGTGGACTCACGGCTCTGGTAGTGTAGTAGCTTAATAAAAGTCCTCGGACCAGCTGTCTGAGTTGGTACAATGGACCTTAAGAAAAAGGTCATAGAGCGCTTAAGTAAATGCACTGTTGGAGAGGAGTCACTGCCTTTACCTGCCCTGACCAAAGCTTCAGTGCTGATTCCTCTGTTCGTGAGAGAAGGGAAGCTACAGGTGCTGATGACCGTGCGCTCCACTGAAGTGAGTGAACTTTGCTCACATCTAGGCTAATTCTGCCTGTCTCACCTGTCAGTAGTCTTACTGTAGAGTAATTAATAGATAATTCATTTGTAATTCCACTGTAATGGCGACAGAGCTGTCACTCGGCCTGTCACTCACTTCTTTTGTTTTCTCCTATCAGAAGACTGTCGAGATTATATTTGTCTACTTTTGTTTAGGGAACTCTGAGCTGAACCCAGAGTGACTTCAGCTCAACTGTGTTACAGTTTAAACAAATGCAGGATTTTAAGGGGCCCCTAACCATCAAACAAGCCAAAAGTCAGGACAGTGTGAGAAGTGCCATGTCTATTGGACAGTCATGGCTGTGGATTGAACCCTCTGGTGCCCAGAGTGATTTGCCATTAAGATGGTGCCATTGATTTACTGCTAGTGACTGATTTAACAAATTCAAAATGAATTTTCTCTTGATGTTTCTTTAGATGCCTTTGAAAAACTGGATTTGAATACCTGGCAACTTTAACTGTCAGTGAGCAAATAGCTTATAAATGTAGCTTACACAATCGCCTTAGTCAGTCAATAATCAGGATGAAACCTAGTGCTAATTGGGGGTCTTTAACATGCTTATTACATAAGTGGGTTATCATAACTTATTACAGTCTCAATTAGTGTGAGCTTTTGTATTTGCTGATGCTGATATATAAACATTCATAAAATATAGAAATTGAGACTAAATCTACCTGGATTAGCATTACAGAGAAATAAATATATATATATATATACCACACAAGGGCAACAGGTATATTCACATTATGTCAAAAACTGAAACATGGCAGCAGCCACATATTGAAGGCTTTTTCTTTATTTTTACTGTCTTCTCTTATATTTAGAATAACAGTGATGATATCAAATCTATGAAAAAAAGAAACTTTGCAGTGATCAAAAAATGTTTAACAAACCAAAGTCCTCTATTTTAGATTCTTTAAAGTAGCCCCCCTTTCCTTGACACAGCTTTACACACTCTAGGCATTCTCGCAATTCTTTCTTGTCTGGTAAAATCCATTGAGCAGCTTTACTCCCATTATGTGAATCATCAATAACCTGTATAACACTTTTTTAGAACCCTATTTTTGTTTTATTAAAGAGAAAATGGGTTAACATTAGGGGTATAAAGATACACTCAGCCTGTGATTTTGGTTAATGTTTTTAGTGTTATATTCAGTAAAATTATGACAATAATCATGTTGTTGAACTGCGTACTAAATACACTGGAGCTGTAAGGCAGGTGGAGTTCTGTAGTGAAATGCTGATTGGTGCTGATTGTTTTGCACACTTGTTTAAGCAATGTACTTGCATTAAATCAATAGAATGCAGATTGTCACAGTTTTGTCTTGCAATATCACAACATTGTGATGCATCATTACACCCCTGTTCAACACCCTTACCTGCTGTAACATTTCAGTCCTTAAGAAATCTCTTTAATCTGTTCCTTTTTTCAGCTCAAACACAATGCAGGAGAGGTGTGCTTTCCTGGGGGGAAGTCTGACAGAAATGATCGAGATGAAATTGACACTGCCTTAAGAGAGGCAGAGGAGGAGATTGGCCTTCCTCCTGATGGAGTAGAAGTAGTTTGCAGACTCATTCCAGTCTTGAATCAGGTACGTTTCCCTATGTCATATAGTTTGAGATTTGTTCCTTTTTGGCTTGTATTTTCTTAATGTCTAATTGTGATGTTTTTGTGCATTTATGTATCAAAAAAGTCATTGTTTACATGACCATTTTCTAATCTAAGATTGATATATGTAAATGATCTTGTTCTGATTGGCTGCCCTGCACGATCCCTTTTTTAAAAAGCAGTCCAGGCTGAAACACTCCTTAAAACTTCAGTGTGAATGGGCAGCATTAAACAAATTTAGGGTGAATGGGAAGGGCTAAATGGCTATAGAATAAATAGATGATTGTAGGTAAATGTGTTGGTTACCATGACAAGTGAAATGAAAGCAAGGACATTTTCTCAGTTCAAGGACACTGGTTTTGACAGGGAAAACCTATGGAAACATTCATGTATTGTGTAGTGTTGGGGAAATATACACCAGCAATACCCAGGACCAACCATACCATATGTATTATTGTAACAAAACTATGTCTAACATTGTTAACATCTAATACAAATGTCTTTTTTCTCCTTGCCTTCCATATGTCATGCCACATTTTCCACAGAGGGGACTTCTGGTGACCCCTGTGGTGGGTTTCATTAGCGAGTCTTTCCAAGCCCGTCCAAACCCAGCTGAAGTGAGTGATGTGTTCTCTGTTCCTCTGGAGTTTTTCTTGAAGAATACTCATCACTCGGCCTATCCTGTACCCAACGTAGGTGGCATGACGCACAGTTTCATCTTCACTGACCCTCTTACAGACAAGATCCATCAAATCTGGGGATTAACAGCAGCTCTGACTATACTGTTGGCTGTTTTAGTGTTTGAGAGGAAACCAGAGTATGAGGTTGGCTTTGATGTGGACAATCCAATCAGAAACTTTCGACGTGAACTTCAACACAGGCTTAGCAAGTTATGAGTACACAGGAAGGTCTTCTAGGCACAGAATAAGGCTGATCCTGGACTAAATTACAGAGTGAGAATGTAAATGGTATAAAATAATTATTCTCTATGTTAAAATTAGCAGTGGCCAGAAAACTATACTGAACTTAACTACGCTGAACTTCAGAACTTTAGAACTCAAGCAGTGCTAATTGTAGCTTCCATCAGTCCTGATAGTAGCATTTTATTGCTAAGGTCCACTGAGAGAATTTTTTGTGATGTTAACAAAATATTAAGTAAAATGTATCATATGTAAAGGTAATAGGTGTGGAAAGCAGCATGCTAATGAGAAGAATGTACAACAAGCAAGGAAGCCAGTGTGACTGTATGTCAAGGCTTACTGTGTTTTACAAAAGAAAAGATAACTTGAATAAAAGTGAGCTTTGAATTGTTAATCATTTTGATGTATTCTGCATCAAAAATACTGATCATTACTAAAGGTTTAGGAATATAACAGTGTGCCAGCTACAGAGTTTCCTGATACCTCACTGAAAACTCACATGTCTGTGACTGAGATTCACTGCAGAAGATGAAGGTCTGATACCAGTAAGTTCCTCTAAAGGACGTTCCAAATAAAATCTAAACCAATGTAAAATTGAATTTGTGATGTATATTGTCTTGTTTTTTTTTTCTTGTCTGAAAAAAGTAGATTTTAGCATTACTTTGTCCTCTGTACTTTTATTAGCAACTACTTCACATCTGCTATTTCTGTCCATTAGGGTTTACATTGTGAAACAGTATCAAGCCTTTTTTTGTGACATATTTACCATGCTTTTCCTGTCAGTATTGGCTCTTTCTGGTGCTTTCGCAGTGTAGCTGTAGGCACTAGGAGCAGGTGGACTCCCGCCAGCCAACCTCTGCTTAATCAGAGAGCAAGGCTGTCTCAGCAGCTCCCTGCAAATGGATGGATAACTATTCATCACTTACACTGGCATCACAGCAGCAGCACGATGAAACAAATTTGCTTTCACTCTCTCATGAATAACCTCCCAGCAGTTTTTCATACACATAAAAAGGCTTGTAAATCTGTCCAAAGTAAATCGTAGGGGTGTGTACATACAGTATGTGAATGTTAATGTGGGTTTGTGGGCCACTAGAGGGCACAGCAACATTGGAATTACACTTACAGTGTCTTAACCATGGATTTCAAAACAGGTCAGTGTAGTATGATTGTAGGTTTGATATGTTAATACATTTATTAACAGATACTACTAGTAATGTGTAGGGGTATAATGATACATTCTTCAGGTTCACTGTTTTTTATTCTGAGGTTAAGATTCTGTTTGATTTTTGATGTGTTAAAAATGTCTTGATTCTAAAGAGCTCTAGTTATACACATCACAGGAAAATAAAGTTTTATTTCACAGCAGAAGACTACATGAAAGGTGCATGTCTCTGTTTTTTTATCCCCCCAAAATTCAAATATCAACATCAACATGGCACGAAAAAAACTACTAAAACTTGTGCAACATCAACTCTCAGCCTGACATTAAGCTTTAACTGTAAGTTAAAGCTGCCCTATATAAGGGTTGAAGATTTGGAGACCTCTCTGGTGGAAATGTGTAATTGCATGCAACATGCTTAAAAACATTTTGTAATGATGGTTGTGCTTCGGACCTCTTCAACAACTGGATGAATCTGATGTCTGCAAAGTTGTTTAAAGGAGAAGGAGAACTCAAAGCTATATACTATTGTCATCATTTATTTATCAGTTAAATGCTGATTTTGCATTTGACACCAAAACATTGAGCAGGACCTTCCTTATGACTCATTAATATGTTAATACGTTAATACGTTATTATGTACAGACACACACTCGCCATATTTTAGTGTTTTCTTCATGACTCAGTTTTAACAAAAAGCCCTGACGTAGTGCTGTTTTAATATGTTATTTTCACATTCTGTGGTTTCAATGAAAGGCACCAGATGAGAGACTAAGTGTGTGTCAACAGTTTTAAATGCTTTTTTAAATGCAACATTATTGTTTTTCGATTTTCCAATAGTGTATTGAAAGCATTGCACCCTTACTAATGTGCATAGTTGAAGGGATTATCTGGTTTTGCTGTGACAGACAAAAGGACAGTCCATTGCATGTTTCCGTGAAGATGTGGTCATAGTGTGCAGTATTGGCATAGATTGTTCAGAAGTAGTATTTCTGAGGGTGCTTACTTTAGCCCCAAACAAAGAACCACTACCATAAAAGAAGCCACAAGAAACACTTAGTTTGGTATATTTAACACTAACTGGAATATACACTCTTCCTTGCTCATGAAATGGGCTTAAAGGGATTTTTTTTCAAAATTTTTGCATAATTAAATGGCTAAGATGTAAACAAAGCCATTCTGGGTTTTTTTATGTAAAATGCCTACCAGTCAGAATTGTTAACAGCAGTCGTGATAGAAACCAGATGTCTGAAGATTTTGTTGCCTGCTAAAACAGAATACCTCACAGAAAGGTATTACATGTTTCGTGTGAAAAGTTTCTTCTGTAAGGGCAAATATGGTGCCTAATGCCTGAGACTTTGTTTTATGGCAGTTTTAGTCTAAAATGTATTTTAAAATCTATTCTTGGTGCAGACAGGGCACTGTGAGGCAAAATAGTGCTATTATTAATATAATCTATAAAAACTTGTCAGACCTGCATGGGTTCACTGGTAATTTTGGATAGTAAATAAAGTGGCTATGTATGTGTTGTGGACATCACAACCCCTGATTTCTATCATCAACCACTGTAAAGAAACCAGAATGTGTTTGTCTACAATGCTCCATTTCACATTAAACCACTTTGCATTAGTGTTCAGATGAATTATGCTGAAATTTTGTAAAATTAGTGGAAGTCCCCTTTAAGGACAGTATTATCTGCAAACATTGTTTAAGTGTTGATATGTGGGTTGTTTTGCTGTAATGCCAGCATGATGACCTTCTGTGCAGCTCCTCACTGTTTGGAGGAATGGACTGAAATCAAGGCATCTTCTGCTGAAGGGAGGAAAAAAAACTATAAATCCACCCACAAACACCTCTTTCTCTCTTTCTTGCACCAGAAAAATATCACCAAGGCAAAAATGGTATTGATTTTGGCTGAGAAAAGGCAATCTTTAACATGTGTCTCTTATGTGAGCCTGAGGTGATAGGGCCCCAATTGTATGTGTTTCCATAGAACATAGGATATAGTGATAACAGAGTGCTTTTCAGCGTTCATCAAAGCTGATGTGTGAGCACGGAACGTCATCATTATCTCTGTTTTTACTAGCTTGTTTTATTAGTTTCTCAGAAATGTAGTACTCACATTATGTGTGTGCTTGGTAAATATTAACCAAACCAGAGTTCTTTGGTTTTACAGCCTGTGAAACACTTACTGGAATAGAATTATCCACTCAGCAGCTTTCAGAAAGCATCTGGAGCTTGGTATTCTGCTCTTAGCATCCTGGCAAGACACAATGCACTGGCAACGACTAGTCTTTATACTATAAGAGCTTTTCCATATGGTAAACATGTAGTGTCCTGGATTTAGTAGCGTATTGTAGGAAATGGCACACTAGCTGCACTCCACTGCATTCCTTTCTTTACGAGTGCTTGCAGTTTGGCCAGCATTAGTTTGTTTTGTAGTAATATTGTGTTGGTAGATAGTGAAAAGGTAGAGATGTTGAAAAGGTTTCTATTTTCAGCTTTAACTGTCTCTCTGCCTTGTGTCAGTTTTATGTCATGTTTGAACATGTTTTCAGATAGCAGTTTAAACGCTGGCCGTCTGTGACCAGGAGTTGATGCGTTCAGCTAAATGCTACATTCAAGGAATACTCTCAGGTGAATACTCCCAAGCAGTGTTTTCATTCCCGCCTCCAATCACCTCTGTGATTTGTGATGTGTGGTGTGAAACATGTAGAAAATGCAATGTAGAAAGCAGTAAAAGTAGTAAAAATAAAGGTTCCTCAGCAGTTCTTGGCTTTGATGTATGGTTCTAAGAACAAAACATTAACTGGTATAGAACCATGCCCGGCACAGACATTTTGGGGGCAGGGGCTCAAAGTAAAAAAAGGGCAACATGAATGTAAATGAAACTTAATTTAAGGTAATTTACAGCATATAGTAGACACTCATATCCAAAGAAAAAGTAATCATTTTTCAGAGGAAAGCAGTGTTGGGTCCAATCCCATGTCACCCCTTGCCTCTACCACTTAGCCCGTACCCCTCCTTTTTGTGCTTTCACACCTAGGGGGTAGGGGGTCCCAGTTTTTGTTGAGATAGAGGGGTAGGGCGAAGTGTTAGGGCTACATGGCCCTACATGGCCCTTTTCAGAGGCACACTCCAAGCAGTGTTATGAGAAAAAGGGAAAAACCAGCAAGACGTTTGCACAGGCGACCAAAGAAACCCACAAATGTGTTTTCTCGGTTAAAAATTATGATAACCACTGTATTATCTTAGTTTAATGTCATTTAATGTGTTATGGCCCTTTTCTTCATAACAAACCAAAAAATCACTACTAGTATGCTGATGTCTCAGTAGCTAGCAAGCTAAATTTCTCGTTCCACGATAAAGGTGCAGTAGTTGCATTTTGGCGCCTCAGGCATCAGAACTGCTGCACCTATCAAGGTGGAACGGGAAAATGCGAACAAGAAGCTGGCAAATAGCTGACTTCAGCTTCATGTCACCAAAGAATTAGGAGTTGGCGATAAACAATTGTCGCACCCCCCTTCTTTGAAGGCATATGATTCCCTGAATTTAACTAAAGCGCAGCAGCGAGGTTGCTGAACTTTACCCTCCTCTGCTATCACTGTATACTGGCAGGATCGCCTGCAGAGCACTGCTAGTAGCTGTCAACGAAGTAATGCTCTTTTTATTTGAGGGTCCCATTTCATAGGGCAAGATTTCAACCGCTACCCCTTGTAACTCAGTTCCAAGGGGCAAGGTGACACTCGAAAACAAGAGGTAGGGGTAAAAATAAGAAATGGGAATCTAAAAGTTTTCCATGTATAGGGCTATGGCATTATACGCTGTTCTTTAAAGAACAATCCACTGAAGTGTTCTTAAGTAAACCAAAAGTGCTTTTTTTTATGGCATCACTTTAAAGAATCCTTTATTTTTAAAAGTGTACACTTGAAAATTGTCAAGTGAAGGAAAAAAGAAGTATTTGTTGGATGTTACGTTCCACATAATGTGCAGTAATAACAGCTGCACATTGGAGATGATTCTGGGTTCAAGCTGTTAATCTACATAATTTAGCTGTTGTTGGTCAGCATACCAACGGTCACTAAACTGAACCTTTCTGCATATGAACATTATTTCTTTCATATACATCACACTGAATCTGTAAATTGTATTGTGTGTCATATTCCATTCCTGCTATTGCAAGTGTCTTTTAAGGGCCTTTAAGGAGAGTTCAGCTCAAGACACTTCAATTCAGGTATATTTGTTTAGTGCTTTTTACCACTGCCATTGTCACATTACAAAAATGAGGGTCCATGTCCAAGGGGGACAGTGGGAAAAACTCCCTGAGATCAAGAGGAAGAAACTTTGAGAGGAACCTAGACTTATGCTCCTCTGGTCGACACCAGATTAAAAAAAAATAACCAAAAAATAATAATGTGAATGGTAAATAAGGAAATGACTAATGAGTATAAAACGATGAAAGCCTGTCAGAGGCTTAAAATGTTAATATGTCATTATGAAAAGGTAGTTAGCTCGGTATAGAATATACTGCCAGTCAAATGTTTGGGCACACTTAGCATTCTTGAAAGAGCAATGCTTAATTTTCATGGTTACTTGAAAACACAAAGGCTTTGTTAAAATAAAGCTGCTACTAATATGTTGGATAGATTTTGCAACACTCAGATTCCTCTTCATTAAAATGTCTTCCTTGGGATGAAAAGTTTTGCCTGAAGTTTTCATTTTTCAAACTATTAGTAATATCAAAACCCCTTTGGCCCAAAGGTGGTTTAAACAGCTTAAAGGCTTGAGTACTGACATCACAACAAGAGGCTAAAATGTGTGGGATTTGGCTTTATTCCTGAGGTAGCAGCTAGATCCTTTAGTTATTCAGTTTTTCATCCAAGGTCAAAACCGCGTTCTATTCAACATGTTCTAGCAAACCGACAAAACATGCCCATTTATTAAGCATGTTTTTACAGACAGACAAAACATTCTTCTTTACTAAAAACATTCTGGCAGACAGTGCACCTTGTTGTGGTCTAGCTTTTGTCTTATATGATGTGTAGCATAGTGTCTGAGGCCTAGAGCAGGGCATCACTGAACTGTGTCTCTCTCTCTGCAGCGTGTATTTGGGACATTGTCAGTGTTTGAGGATGTACTCACCCAGAGTCAAACTCACTGCTTGCCAGAACTTACCTCATTATCCAGTCCCAGCAGGCAGAGAGCTCAGCGCCT